GGTGAAAATATATTTAGAACCAGTAAGATGAGACAATTTCAGAATGATGTATGAGAAAAATTAAGAAGATTTCATAGGATGAGAATGGTTGGACTCGATGATCTTAAGGGTCTTTTCCAACCTAAATGATTCTATGATTCCAAGAGCTACTAGTGACTTTTCTGAAGGTGGATTCTGGGGAAGGGTCTAGGCAAAACTGAAAAGGGAAGCAGAGAAGATAATCAGGACATTGAATACAGCATGCTGTGGAGAATTCAGTGACAAAGGGAAGCCTATAGAGAAGTCAAAGAAGTTTGTCAAAGGAAATGAGAACACGCCTGAATTCAAATAGAAAAGTGACAACATTATACAAGAGAAGAAGAAAAATAAGAAGGAAGCCTGGGAGTTCTAGGACTGCAGCAAATGAGTTAATAGATCAGATTATTTAAAGATGATGGAAACTGTAAGACTTCAAAATAAAATGAAAGGGGGGAAAAAAAAAATCAAGGGAAGGGAAGATGATGGAGAAGAGGAGAGCAGGAGATGCATTCCTGGTGTTGAGTCCTGTTAGGTTTTTTGCATTCAAAAAAAGTTAGCCAGGCAAAACAGAAGGGAAATGTTTGGGGAAGGAGACATCACCCGCAAATGAAAATTAATGAACAAAAACTGTAAGATTCAGAGGCATGAGGACTGACGAGGATAGGAATAGGACTCTCTGATCAAGAATAGAACAAAAGAAGAGAGGATGAGCAAACACAAATCACTTCCTACAGGAAGCCCTTGTGGCCCTAGAGTTCCCTTTGCGTTTGCCAAGAGCAGGCACAGCAATATGGAAGGCACAGAGAAAAGCAAGAGCTGGCACATGCAAAATCTATGAAGTAGTGAGTGAAGACAGCAAAGTAACTAGAGCTGAAGCATCTGGAAATTTCAAAGTTGCAATAAATGCATTTTAGATCATACATCTAAATGTATGATCTAATGTTTCCCCTATTTGGAGGCCTCATATATATCATCTGTTTATTTTGCAGGCATCACAAAACAGTTGTTTCCAAACACAGATGATGCTTTAATTAGGCGAATGATGGGACAAAAACTGAACAATTGCACCAAGAAGCCAATTTTGAGCAAAGATTTTAACTCAGGTGCTTTTCAGAAGCATAGCTTTTGGTAAGTCTTAAAAAGAAATTGTAGCCTGCAATGTGTCATTCCATATATTACCCTGTGGTAACAAAATCTAAAAGCAATCTTAAAATTACCATGAAGATACGTGTTCACCTAAGCATTGCCAAATAGGTAAATATTTTTGTAACCTTGTACAAAAAGTGTGTAATACAGAAGCAGTCCAGCTTCACATTACAGCACAAAAAAGAAGTTGTTCATTCTAGACAAAGCAGCACAAGGCTATTAAATTACAGGAAGAGAGGACAGAAGTAAACACATGGAGTTACTTTGATCAATATGTCTGTTTTAGATTTGGCATTATTTACTTTTCTTATTATTCTCTGTAGGCTCTCCAGAGACCAGTCAATTCCACTTTCATGTCACCTGTTGTGCCTCAATTAACCCACAAGTAAAAATAAGGAAAATCACACCTCTTTTGTACCTACTGATAAAAGTACTGTAGGAGAGCTACATCAGCATTCTTTTACTGCCAGAAGAGTCTAAATTATTGGGGCAGAGGAATTATTAAATAACATCTTGCTTATTATGGGCATTCTTACCTTGTGAACAAGACTAGTCTAAAATTGCTGAAGCCATCGCTGTTGTCGGTGAAGTCATCTATTTGCATAGTACAGTTTCCATACATATCAAACGTACGCATCACAGAACAGTTGAGGTTGGGAGAGACCTCTGGAGACCAGCTAGTCCAACCCCCACTGCTCAAAGCAGGGTGACCTAGACCAGATTGTTCAGAGCCATGTACAGTTGGGCTGAGTATCTCCAAAGAAGGAGACTCCACAACCTCTCTGGGCAACCTCGGTCACCCTCACAGTGAAAAAGTGTTTCCTGATGTTCAGACCGCACCTCCTGTGTTTCAGTTTCTGCCCATTGCCTCTGGTCCTGCCACTGGGCACTACTGAGAAGAGGCTCCACCTTCTTTACACCCTCCCATCAGATATCAATACACATAGACAAGATCCCCTTGAGCCCTCTTGAGGCTAAACAGTCCCAGCTCTCTCAGCCTCTCCTCAGGAACAGGATAAGAGATAACAAGGAACAGGACAAGAGATTAAAATCAGTGAGACAGGGAGAACAGATTTGTCCTTACTTAGACTTTCCATACTGAAGTAATATTGTACTTCTTCCTAGTTCAGTTATCTCATGCATGTTTTAAAATTCATATTTGCAACTGTAAGACGCTTCATAACAAAACAAAACAAAACCAAAAAACAAAACCAGCCCAAGATATTTGACTACGTTACGACACAATTGTTTGAAAAGTAGCAGTGCTTCGCTACTGAAATTCCTCTCTACGCCACCTGGAAGTACTCCATGGACCACCAGTGGTCTATGAATTACTACTTGAGAACTACTCAGATAATATCTAATAATATTGGAAGAATCCACATACACAGGTTTTCCCATCTGGAAACAATAAACAAATGCACCAGCCAGGCTAAAATACAGTTTACTATGTTAATGCTTTTCTCCTAGAGATGAGAAGGCTTCATAAAACAAAGGTCCTCTGTATTTGTAACATACAGTGTGCATTGATTCACTGTAGTGTTTTCCCTTGTCCTTGACACAGGCGGTAAAAATAACAGCACAGAAACACAGACTCTGTCTTCTTTGAAAGTATTAAATCTTAAATATTTTATATTTTAAATTTTTATCTCCATCAGAGGAATCCATAAATTTTGCTAATTCCTGAGTCTTCTCATCTACAGACGCTGTGTTCCTGAAGCCTCAATGGGAGGAGGATCTTGAGCTAGCACTATAACAATTCTGGGTTGTTTTTTAATACTGCCTATAGACCTTTCGATTTAAACTTGATATCTTAAAAATATCTTTATGTCTGTTATTGATAAGTGTTTATGTAAAATCCAGTCCAATATCCATTGAAACCAACGCAAATATTGCCTGCATAGTCTCTCTTGAACGGATGATTATTAGAATGCATTTATAATGGATTCATTTTACACCTGACCAGAATTTCCTCACTGTAAAAGCACTTAAGCACCTTGTAAGTAATCGAGATAACAGTGGTGATTCCTTTAACTCAGATGACACAAGTTTTCTCTGGAAGAAAATCAGGAGAATTTAAAAGTGCTCATAATCTCACTGCTACTCCTTCAGTTCACCTTCCAGTGATGAAGTACAGAGAGGGGTCAAGAGAAAATCCTGTTGTGCAGTACCTTTAGTAACAACTTACACACAAGTTACTAACTTTTAAAGCTGGTGATACTGCAGTTTGGATCTCCTCCCTTGCTGCTCCTCCTTCCTTGCCCCCCTCCTCCGCCTTTCCCCAGAATAGGATTACAATTCAAGAGAAGGAATTTGGAATCAAATCCAATGAGACAGACAAGTCACCATCTCAGATCCATTAGGCTGAGGTGAAACAAGGAAAAAGGGAATGTGTCAATGAAGAAAACTAGTGAACTAGCTAATAAACAAACTGCTGCTCAGAAACTAAGAACAGCAGTAATTGCACATTTAATGTTAATATCTGAAGCTTAGTTATAAATTGCCTCAACAGTGGTTCAACAGCTGCTCCTCAGGGCATCATCTCTTCGGCTGTTCCTCCCAGCACACAAGACCAGCAGGATGATGATTCACCAGCTGCTAATGCACAAATTCCGCAAAGCGACAGCCGTCCGACTCCTCCACCTCCCACCACGCAAGGTCAGCAGGAGAGCTTCAAACCCGCTGCTTCTAAGGTGGAGCCTCATCTCGCCAGAAGCTCACCAGCGCCCTCTCCCAACCAGGGCTGCGGACAGGATCTCAGGAATTCAGACAAGGAATAACAGAAGGTATTTCATACCAGCTCAAATTCTCAACAGAGATTAAGGAGTAGCATAAAATAAAAAAGAAATAATATCTAAATGGGCCTAGCAACAGTGGACAGCGATACTGCAAGCAGAACAGAAGCCTGAGAACCATTTTCTCAAACAAATTAAAATCCCACAGCCTAGAAAAAAATGAAGGCATATTAATATCTTTGACCTTAAGATATTATTAAATATATGCATGTTATGCGGTAATTCAAAAAATATAAACTTGTTCTGAAGAATATAAGAAGAGTTCCCCTTAGTTAGAAAAACACATTATTTAAAGTAATACCAAAAGAATGTATAAGAGGAACCTTAATCCCCTTGCTTTCACTTTGACAGCTGATGGAAAACTGCTTTACCAATCAGAGAAAGCTATTGCATATTAATACAAAAACGATATAGAGGTATGAAAAGAGAATAGAAAAATTTCCTAGTGAAATTAAGGCTATGGCCAGCACAAGGTTAGAAAGCACAGGGCCGCATGAGCAAAGAAGAAGAAATAAAATTATATTTAAGATAATAAATAAAGATTATTTAAGAAATAAAAAGATATTTAAGGATGCTGTTAACTTGGAAAGACAAAAAAACATTCTTAGGGCAATGAAACTGCAGCTCTCAAGATGTCTGCAGGAAAGAAGCAGCTCATTTTTAACCTCTGAAAGTTGGAAAGGCAATGAAAGAAGCCATGTTCCCTCTTAGCTCAGGGAAGAGTCCTCCAGGATAGCCTGTTTGGTTGTGGAGGCCGTGGCTTCTCTCACAGGCCTTCTGCTGCTGGTACTCTGCCGGCTTGGCAGCTCTCACTCTCTTCTTCCCTGAACATCAGGTCCATAGGATAAGGGTGCCTGATCCCTCCAGTCGGGAAATGGGGGACAATCTCTTGGAAGAGACTAGTAAAGGGCAGAGTTGCCAGCCTCTACTCCCTGCTTTGATTTTGGTGTGCTACCTCTTGCTTAGAGAGAGGGTGGACAGGTTGGGTGAGCATTCCTTATGGGTGAGCATTCCTCATGGGACTGGGACCAGAAAAATCCCAGTAACTGGGCAGTTCCTCTTGAGATCTGACACCGCTTGTCTCAGGGAGCCGCCGGCAGTCACGCACCCTGTATTGCCTGAGGAGGAGGAGGGAAGGTACATTTTTTTCCTTGCTGACTGGTTCCAGGTTCACAGTGTGCAGGTAGCATGGGAAGGAGAGAACACTTGGATTATAACTTTCGTGCTTCAGACTAATTCTCCCAGAACAGAGGGTACTAATAGTTAAATCTATTTCATACGTGGCAAATAAGCAACTAAGGAATCAAGATGAAAAAAAAAAAAACCAACATAAAGTTGAAGAAATCTAGCTTGATTTGAGGAGGATTTCTGTAACTCAGAAGATCTGAGTTATAGAAATAAATTAGAAACAGTATTAGGGTGAATGCCAGGGAAAAAAATCTGAAGATAAGGTTAGCAGCCAAATACCGCTAAAGGAAATTGCTGCGAACCTAACTGTACTAGAACAACGCACTAATAAAACGCACTGTGGAGAAGACTTTTGTGTGGGCTGGGGTATGAATTAAGTGATCTGCTGGCCTTTTTCATCTGTCATGTCTCTCAGTTCCTTGTAGGTAGGATCAGGATGAAAGCAGGTATGAACTATGATGTAAGTTCCATCTCATGTTATTAACTACCATCCATAAAATGTAACAGAAGGATGTTTGCTATTATGTACATTTTGTATATGTAATTGTATGTACAGCATATAAGAATGTATATAGTTAATCATATTTTTGAAGCAACTTTCTATCAAATAAAATGAAATATTACTATGTCTTAGTTTTATTTTATAGTCCTTACTGTCTTCTGGGCCTTTTCTTGCATCAGCTTCTCTTGTACACTCTAACATGAAAGGTTAGGTTTTTTTCTCTCGCTCTCTTTCTTTTTTTCTCTTTTTCTTTAATAACAGCTCTGAAGCCAGTTTCTGTAAAGCTCCTAATTTTTAGCTGGGGAAGGGGTTGGACCACCTTACAAGGGCTCTGTAACCTTAAAGTTGTCACAGCTGATATTGCACAGCTGCAGCTTTTCTGCTGTTGGGGAGGTGCAGAAGCACTGGGGCAGGTACCCGGGGCCAACGGCGAGCGGCCGTTCTCCCCGTCGCTGGTGCAGCATGGCAGATCACGCTGCACTATCTGCTTTTCTATTCTGCCGACTTGGTGAGCTGTCACAGGAAAACCGGTGGGGCTGGCAGCTCACCGCAAAGAGTAAAGGAGGATTTTCGTGGTAGGGTGAAGGGTCTACTCCCAGGCACGGACCAGGGAAGAGCAACATAGAGAAGGAGACATTTTAATGTTTTACCAAAGGGTAAAGAGGGAGCAAGCTGAAAACAGCCAGTTCCTTCCTCTCTCCTAAAGTATAGGACTGATGTTATGCCACTGGATAAATGAATAGCTTTTACACAGCTACACAGTTAACAGAAAAGCCATACTCCTTGCAGTATGACCAAAAAGGAAGAAAATACAACTGGTTTTCCAAAACGATCCTGACAAACTCTTGAGGACATGAAACTGAAGACGAGATAATCACAAATTAGAAACTTCAGAAGTAACAGAAAGGGAGAGGAGAGCGGAACAACCTGATGCTGCTTCTCCCAAAATTTGCACTAAAATCAAAATGAATTGGTGATGTGTAAATGCGTGGTGTCGCGAAGTGTAAAATTCTTCTGACACGAGTGACAGAGGATACATTATTTGCATTACTTGGAATTGGAGAAGGCTGATGGCTACTGCAGAAAAACCTAACAGCTATATGACTGTACAGCATTTAGTCACTGGAGATTTAGTACAAAAAGGTAAGCAATACTAAAACTAATAATTTGAACTATATTTGTTTCGATTACTGCATTTTAGATGGAATTTGAAGATTACCATGGAAAAGAATTTGGTCGTTGTTTATTATGAACTGCTCCTTGCTTTCTAAGGAGGGAAGAATATTGAAATATGTGAAGAATGGGGTAAAAAAACTTACTGAAATTATTGAATAAATCAAGGTTTTTAATGCATGTCAAGTTCATGTCCCCTCTTATTATGGTATATAGATAGGAGTCAAAAAAAACCAAACCACCAGACATCTAAATTTTCTAGATGAAGAGTAAGTGGCAGTATGCAACGTTGACACAAGAGGGAAATCGAGGGTTAAAAAGGCAATGCTTCACTCTAAGGAGCAAGGAGAGAAACAAGGATGTTGAAATATGTTTAAATTCTATGAAAGAAAATAATTAAGGGCACATAATGAATACGTGGAACTAGTTGCTAGAGAGCATTACTGAGTTTATAAAGACAGTCTGCTCAGAAACAGCTTCCCCATCCTATGGGATACCCAGACTTCATTTGGAGGTTTGGACTTGGAGATCTTAGCTCCCGAAGAGCAGATTGTGAGTATCCCCTGCTCTCCTAGGTTTGTCTGCTCCTCCCTTCGGCAATCTGCTGCCTGTGTTTAAAAACAATTGCCTGTTCTCTTACCGAGTTAGACAGCAAATGTGCCTTGCAGGTGGCCCACCAGCCAAAAAGTCCAGCAGGCTGCATCTTTTCTCTATGAAACAAATTCTGCATTAGAACTTTCCTACGCTGACCCAAACTAGGAAGCCTGTGCTTTCCCAGGAATTAGCTGAAATACACAAATTTTGGAATTCAGAGTTTTGTTAGCATATTGGAAATGCTGACATGATTGCATGGCAATTCCCTTTCTATTTTTTTTCCTTAACTGTATTGTTTAAATATGAGGAGAATGTTTGGATGGGTCATTGCAAGAGGAAATATTTACATGAATTACTGCTGAAAAATTCATATTCAGATGAGTGTCATTTTCATAGGGTATCAGAGTTTGGAAAAAATAATGCCACCTCGCTGTTCTAGTAACTTGTTATTATTGCACCTCATATTATCTATTCTCAGGAATCAAAAGTAATTAAGTGCAAATGCAAGCTACAAACAGAATGGCTGCTATCAATGTTCTGTTAGCAAATTCAAGTTCTAAATGCAAAATACAAAAGTTTAGGCAGCAACAATGACTAATTTTCCAAGTGGTAGTCAGGTTTCCGTTATTTTAATAATGAAATAAAATTGCTCAAATCAGTGTTGTTTATACAGTCCAACAATACTGATTGAGTTGCACAAATTTGCTAATGACTATATAACTAGTATATATAACTAGCATCTCAGTATGTCTATCTTCTATCATAAAGCTATTTTTTCATTCATATATGGAAGGAGGCTTAAAACTAACATTAGTAATAGTAACTCTGCGTTTACAAGAAAAATAAGTGTACTAAATTAATGCTGACATTAAATACCACGTGATATGTTATTTCTGATAGCTGCTTATTCACAAAGCTCCCATAACATCAAAATTTAACATGCAACCCTGAATTCTTTCTCTCCTATGTATACAGGATTTGATAAGCACACACCAGAGAAGCGCTTTGTTTGTGTGCAAGCAGCTCTTTTATATAGACACACAACGCACAGGTGACATTTACACTGTTCAGCTTACTCAAAGCCAATGCATTAAGTAAAGATAATTCATACCAGCTTCTACTTTGGGTGGCTCGAAGTAACTATATGATGAAGCAGGAGAGCAGTAGCAGATAAATAGCAAGAATCATGGGCATGGGCACCCAAGTGATGTTTCCTTGATCCTGACAGTGAGGGGAAATGAGGAGAAGGGCACTAATAGGAAAAATCAATAATTGGTTGTAGAACTGGTGTTGGTGACCAGGTTTTGCATTGTATGAGCATGGGACCCTGCCTGCAGATCACCGTCTGCTTGAGAGAGGTGTGATCCACCTCACTAAGCAGGGCAAAGCTATTTTTGCCAGTAGGATGGCTGAGCACATAAGGAGGGCTTTAAGCTAAGAATGGAGAGAGAGGGAGAGAGTAACCAGCAGCCCTGTGAGGGAGTGATGGACATGGTCAAAGAGGAAAGGGCATGGGGTGATGTGTCAG